TATAGATGTCGGCGTCTTGTCTCTATTATTGTATTACCCGTTTAGCTATAGTTTGATTTCAGATAATGCAGATTTTAATGTGCCATTTATGTTTTTTATTGGAATTATTATTTTTAGCATATTTTGTATACTCTATGAAGTGATTTTAAGAAGTGCTCCTGTTCATTTTTCATTTTTCAATTATTAAAGTGCCTATTTAGATACATTTAAAATTAATTAATTAATTGGTGTATAGTATTTGTATTATGGGTTTGTTTATTTTTTATGAAATGTATTTTTTTCCTATTAAAATAAACATAGCTTACTAAATCACTAGCCAGCCATTTTTAAATACAGGGTGTTAATTAAGTATCTGGCCAAACTTCAGGAGATGATTTTTTGAGTGTTTTTAAGGTAAAAAGTTCATATAAACATGTGTCCGGAAATGTATAATTTTAAAGATGTCAATGTGTTTTCTAATAGGCCTTTTTTATTAATATCTCAAAGATCCGTTGGCCGATTTTGTTGAAATTTCGCCGTGTTGTGAACTTTGATAAGTTAGCACTAATTAAATGATAATTATTTACAACAATATTCAAACGATAAAAACTTATCCCGATAAAAAATATTTGGCACCGCCTTGGATTCATTTGTTTTTACGCCTTTTGGCGGTGGAAACCATGCAAGCTTTTTCTTTGTCCTAAGTTGTTAATTAAAAAAATAATAATCATATAAAAAAAAATATAGGTCCTAATTAGTAGTGGGAACTATCGAATGAATACTATCGAAACATTCGATAGTTGCAATTCATTCGAATAATTCGATAGTTAGTAAGAAAACATTCGTTGAAAACTATTCGAATAAAAATTATCGAATAGATCCGTCATCTGCCTTGAAATATTGTATTCTAGTAATTCGGCTGCAAAAACCATTCATTTATAAAATTCATTCATTTATGAAATTCATTCATTCGTCAGGATGGATTATAATAAAATATTAACTGAATTTTAGTTGTCGCCCGGCGACGTAGGTTTCTTTCCGAGAAACCCGACAGCGGTCGGTGGCAATGCTATGAAAGAAGCCGGCATCTTTGATTTTTTGCGGAGTCCGATATAGATAAGGACACATTATTTTTTTTATTGAGGTGCTAGTATTTACACAGAAAATACATTATGAAAGGCACTGTTACCATATTTTGGTATTAGTTGATATTCGCAAAGAATATTATTGTTTGGCTTTAGTTAATTAGGGATAGTATGTCTATATATTCTGCATTTTTTTTTATTAATATTCTGTTGTTACATTGCAATAATACTTGTTATTTTGGATGCAGGAAAATTATTTTTAATGTTTTTTAGCAAAGACTGGTTTAATAAATAATAATAACAGTAATAATTTGTTATACCTATTAACAACAAAATTTAAAATCATTTAATATAAATATTTTCTTTTAAGTAGTAGCAAAATATAAACAACAAATTAGATGTCAAAATTATTTATATTAGATCCTATTTAAAAATAATATAGTCTCTAAATTTTTTGGCAACGTTGGTTTATTAAATAATAATAATTACAGAACTAATTTGTTATATTAACAACAAATTTTAAAATCATGAAATATAAACATTTATTAATTTTCTAAGCATGCAGTGTAATGGAAGGAAAATATAAATAAAAAATTAGAAATCAAAATTATTTATATTAGGTGCTTTATATTACTATTTAAAAATTATATTTACTTTTACTGGCATTTACTTTAAAAATAAAATGAAATATTTTTTCTTCGCAAAAACTACATGTAAGAGAATTAGCATAAACAAAATACAAACATCGTTAACTTTTTTTAAATTGGCACGTGTAAAACTTTCATTTTAATTTTCTCTCACCCCATAGTTTGAGTTTGATAACCATTTACTTAAATATGATTATACAACCACATTACTTAAATATGATTATTAACTTCAACTAATTCATATTATTAAAACATCTAAAATACAAATATGTATTTTTAAAATTAATTGTACGTTCATCCCATCTCTCTTAAAAATTGCTACTTCTCAAAATTTCCCATTAAAAAATAGACCACCTTAATTTTGACCACCTGCACATGCACACAATCGTCAATAAATAAAATTAAAAAATAACTACTATTTTAGTATTTTAACTATTTTAATAAACGCAAAAATAGCACAGTATTTATACGGCGAAGTTATAAAAATTTGGAAGAACTAATAATGCACTGACGCATACAAAAATCAAACGAATACTAAATTTCATTTATCAAAAGCATTCGATAGTCGTGACTCAACGATAACCATTTAGTCGCACGGCGAGGTTGTCACATATGCTTTAGTATACAAATGAATGAACGATTTTATTCGAATAAAACCATTCGATAGTTGAAATCATTCATTCAGTAACCATTCGATAGTCTAATTCATTCGATAGTTCCCATCGCTAGTCCTAATAGCCTAAATTTTATCCTTGTTTATAATAATATACAAGGATTTTATCAAAATGTATCAGCAGATCCGATGAGACCCGAGTTATTATGTTTTGGAACTTAATGATTTAATTAATTATTCCCTTTAATGCATCGATTGTGCGCATTATCCTACGCGCCAAGAAAAAATATTGCATTAGTCTAAATTTATTATTTATGTTATTCCGCTCTTTCACGTATAATTTGCCTCTTGATTCTCTACGGAAAGAGTTAGATTAAAATAGCCCAACTGTACCTAACAACCCATGCCTTGACGCATATTCTTTTTTTATAATAATATCGGCTTTCCCAGACTAAACATCCATATCCATAAAATAGTTGGCCCACACACACTAATAAGACCTCATTTCGGCCCTCGAACGGCCTTGCGATCGACTTACGTGTTGACAAGTTGATTAGGCAGGTTATTGAACTCATGTTGCCTCTAGCATGTCGTTTTTTCAAAGATGGGTCCCATATAAACGCGGCCAGAAGTATTTTCAATACTAAAAAATCAAACAACGAATATATACCATATATTTTTCTTTTATCTAAGATACATACCTTATCGTCTTTTGGAAACACGTACATTTTTGCAGTTTTGTTAGTTTCTTTGCAAGATGCAACACAACAAGAAAACACCATTTTTACAGTTAATAAATAATAAAACTATTTCTGACTATGATATTTAAAATTTAGATAGATAGAAAATTAAAAAACAAACGAGTATTTGCAAACGCAGGCCCAAATTCAATAAAAATCAAAATATTTCCTGCGAAAATCAGACTTTTTTCACTGAAAAGGTATTTTTTGATTTATCATTAGTCATTGTCAAGTTGACAATATACAGGGTGTTTTCGAATTAGTCTAAAAAATTATGGTGTGATTCCTCATGTGTTCTTAAAACAATTTTTATATAACCATTAGGTCTAAAGTACTTCTTTTCTGATCTACAGGGTGTTAACAATTAAAAAAAAAACGATTTTTTTCCTTAACATAAATGGTACACCACTTCTTATATATAAGAAAATATATTTTTTTCTTGACTGGTCATCCTTTTTCAACAAAATTGATCTTTTGAATTTTTCTTGTTCATCAAACGGTTGTCGAAAAAAATAAATATACTTATTAAGAGCCCGCCTTAATTCGTTTTCTAATGATTTTTTATTTTTTAGATTATTTAGGAAACACCCTGCATATGCATATATATGCATATCACAGGCAACCAAATAAACTAGTAACCTCTAAAAATTATTTTTCCTACCACTAGCGACATACCGTGTTTTTAGTGTGTACTAAATTATTTTATCAAAATTTCACCATATAAGTTTCCAGGCAATGATCATAAATGACTCGCAAAAAAAATCAAAGCACAATTTTTTGAATTATTACTACAACCAATAGCAGCACACAGTAAGGCACTCATTTTTTGTGAATCCGTCTCTGTGCTGGGACGCAGCGCTCGAACCTCACAGGTCGACGGACGGAACTCAACTGAAACGCTCTGCAATCTGCCGATATTCGACAGATTGTAAAAACTGGCAGAAAATATTTGGGAGAGTGCAACTACTCTTTTCCTTTTACTATGCCAGTATGTCTGATTTTTAGACTTTTTATTGTTTACATATGAGAACCCTTTTATGCATACTGACTTTTTTAGGGGTACTAGTACACATAAACACTAACCAAACCAAATTCGTTAATATATAAAAAAAAACATTCACATTTACAAACTAACAATTTCATACATTCTACAAAATAATATCCAAATATATTATACTTTTGGTATATTTTTACTTTGGCAATAGTTTTGTTACTATATAGAAGAAATACTTTTGTATTTAAATGCTTGTAACTAAAAAAAAAGTTTTGAAAATGTTTCCTTTTTACATCGCTTGACGCTATTTAATAAAATAAAGTAGCTAAGAAACGAAACGTCAGATTGAAAATCTAATAACATCAACATGTTGAACAAGAAAAGTAGCAATAAAAATCTAAAATGTGTATTGTTATATTTTCAAATAATGATCAGAAAAAAAATCGAAATCGTTTTAAAAAATCGAAGATTTTTTAGACTCTAAAAAAATCAACAAGGCGTTCACTTTTTCTAATTTATCATTGTATCTTTTTTTACGAGATTCCTGCAGTTTATATGAGACACCGTGTATAAATGTTCCAATCCCAGTTTTATATAAGAATTTAGTTTTAATCAGAAATATCCGTACAGAGTTTAAATAAATATATTGTGTCAGATTTATGTAATTTTCTTCAATAGAAGAAGAAAAATCTAAAAAATCATAAAATTATTATGTTTACATTCAACTCCTTTTCAGAGATTTTAACAGTCATCACCACTCATTTTAATCAAACTAAAAAAAATTCGAAAAAGAAGTTTCATCAAACACATTCACACCAAAAACAAACAAAATACATTACGTAAGTACCAAGGTACGAGCAATCTCTTTGCCAAATCAATATCAAAACACACTCAAACCAAAACACATGACAAAAATTGTTTGGATTCTGTGTTTTTCCTTACATTTTCGTAACGGTCATTTGTTGATTTTTTACAGGTAGCTTTTGGGAAAGGAAAACAGACACGACTAGGCGAGAAAAACGTGAAAACAAGCGAGTCGAGTCGTCCAAGGACCGCCGATTTAAAATTGGAAGCACGTGTGACGTGGAAATCTGGAAAGCCTTCGGGAAAACAACGAGAGCGAATCCGCGAATTTTCTGCTACTGGTTTCATTCAATTGGCAAGTGCATGGCCCGGGAAGACGCTGTTGCCACGTCTTGACTTATGTTTTAGGTTATATTCAGATAAACGTACAGGGTATCTCATTTTAGTTGAAATCGTACGGTTACTCCGTTATTAGTGGAGATAGAAGGGTGCGGTCTTGCACGATCCTGTCCCACTTTTTTGTCAAACGGTAGATGCTGTCAACAAAATTTTCATAGACCTCTTCGTTTCTGAGCTACAGGGTCTTTTTGAAAATTTTGCAATTTGGGACAGCCTCAGTATCTTCGTTATTGTGAAAGATATTGAGAAGGTGAAAACTGACTCTTGTAGAACTTTTTATATTATACCGGGTGCGTCCTCAAAAGTGGCTCATCCCCTATAACTTTTTTATTTTTTCAGATAAGAAAAACGAGATTTGGTATGTTTGTATATGACATAAATTGGGATTGATTGATGTATTCAATTGCTTTTAGTCACTTCCCGTTTCACCGGAAATGACTACAACTTATGATTTTTAAATGGCACCCTCGGTATTTTTTTACTTTATTGGATAGAAAATGACACTCTGAATAGAATGACATATCATATGTCAACTTTTGAAATTTTCTCATGTGGTTTATTTGAAATTGTAACATGCGGTTCATAACGACAATTTGACTCGAAATATCAAGTTTGTGGTACCAAATTATTCGTAAAAAATGCTTTTTCTAAATATGCTAATGAGCCACCCTCGTTCGATTTGAAAAAATGGAGATATGATTAAAAATACGATTTGGCATCTTTTAATAGGCTAGGACAAGACACGAAAAACATTAGATGATCAAACTTTGAATAAGAAGACTAAGGAAGAAGCATAGCAAAAATCTTAGGTCCACCGCGAAGGGACTCAAATAAGGCAGACTTAAATTCCGGTTTATCAGTGCCGTTCTAATTTTATTTAAAAAATGTAAAACTATGATGTAGGGTCGCAGACTCAATAATTTGTTTTTTTTTATTTTACGTTGTGAATAAATGTTGGTAGTTATTAAAATTGTTATAAAAATATAAAATTCTAATAAAAATAGATAAGTTATAATAATTATTTATTAACACAAACATCCGATACGCTACTGAAGCAGGTAAGTCAAATTGACGTATCTAAATTCTTTGACAAGTAGTAAATAAAAGCAAAAATGCAAGAAAAATATATAATTAGTTAATTTAAGTGAATTTCATAAATGATCGGTTTACTACACGTATGTATATTATATTATAGTCACTTACTAGCGAAAAGTTGTTCCATTATTTCATTCGATTTTTGCCGAGATCTACCGCACGCTACACAACCAACTATTTTAGAGTCTTTTTCGATAAATCGCGATAGTGTCACTGTTAATTCAAGTTCTGTCACAATTTCCATCAAGATTTACTACCGTTATACAACTATCAGTAGTAGAATAAATAATAAATAACATAAAATAAGCTCCGTAAAGACTGACAAATCCACAAAATTTCAAATCAACTTTAAATGTGTCAAATAAATCGTCAAACAGAACTGTCACGGATCCCCACCCTAGAGTCCTTTTTCCGCCCACCATGCATGAATACATGGATACCATTATGCTCCTTCCTTAGTCTTCTTATTCAAAGTGATCAAATCTATTTTTCCAAGGCTCCTTGAATAAAAATTAGTGTTTTTAACACAACCATGGCACTCTAGATTGAAATTTAAAATACGATTTTTTTAAGTGAATATGTCAAAAGTTGACATATGATATGTCATTCTGTTCAGAGTGTCATTTTCTATCAAACAAAGTAAAAAAATACCTTGGGTGCCATTTAAAAATCAAAAGTTGTAGTAATTTCCGGTAAAACAGGAAGTGACTAAAAACAATTGAATACGTCAATCAATCAAAATTTACGTCATACTAACATACCAAATCTCGTTTTTTTATCTGAAAAATAAAGAAAGTTATAGGGGTGAGTCACTTTTGAGATGTACCCGGTATGGCACCCCTTATGGCAAGCCAGATCATATAATTTATAAATATACAGGGTGTTCAATTTAAGAAAACATAACTTTAGTTCATATCTTTAAAAATATTCTTTTCGTAGAAGAACAGACTAGGTCACTGTATTCTACGTAAAAAGTTCAACAATAAACTGTTTTCACCCTCTCGATACCTTCCACAATAACAGAGATACGGGGGTGTCCCAAATTGCAAAATTTTCAAAAAGACCCTGTAGCTGAGAAACGAAGAGGGCTACGAAAATTTTGTTTACGGCATCTTCCGTTTGACAAAAAAATGGGACAGGTTAGTGCAAACCGCACCCTTCTATCTTCACTAATAACGGAGATACTGTATGATTTCAACCAGAATGGGACACCCTGTATAGGCTGCTGTTATATTTTATTGAAGTATAATTAGGATATACTGGGTGTTTTTCAAAAGTGGCTCACCCCTAGAGCTTTTTTATTTTTTCAGATAAAAAAACAATATTTGGTATTTTAGTATGTGACATAAATCAGGACTGATTGACGTATTCAATTAGTTACGGTCACTTCCTGTTTTACCGGAAATGACTGCAACTTTTGATTTTAAAAATCAACCAGAGGATATTGGTACCCACAGTATCAAGTTTATTATAATGCTTTTCTTAGCCAACGTTCCAAAAACTCTTCCAAACCAAAAACAAGTAAAATGTTCCGATTTCTAGTAAGAATTGGCAACGGTGCGGCGTGGCTGGCTGGGAGCCAACGTTCGCACCAGTGACGCGATACGGCGTCGCGACGACGTGCGCCCGAGCCGACGACCAACCGGGCGACGCTCGACGACGCTGTAAATTTCGACCACTGCCGGCCGCCAAACGTAAATTCCGCTGTTTTTCGACCGATGCGATTAAGCGAACGTTGGCGCTTCGCTAAAAAGCCAATAGGTACTAGGGATGATAACGATGACGTCGATGTTTCTGAAAAATCGATGTTTCAGTAACAACCATCGATGATTTACTATTGCAACCAGCTTGACAAATCTGAGAAGAGATGTGAATTTTACGATTTTGACATCATCATCTTTATCATCATCATCATCATTTTCAGCTTATTCAACAATTTCCAATTATGGTGTAGCCTCCTTCATATACTTTCTTTGTAGTTGGGCCCATTGTTGTCTATGCGAGTCTAAAATAAAATCCGAAATAAATAAATAAAATTATTTTTTCCAAATTTCGGATAAACGGTAAGGACTAGAAAAAAGTTTTAAAATATTTAAATTCAACTATTCGAGAACATTTTAGTTTTTTAAAACAGATACGTCTACAACATCAACAAATAAAAAATCGGTAAAAAACTTTTAAGTTAAACGGTTTTATCTTATGTGCACTGAAAACTAGAAAATAATAATAACAATTAGGTATTTTGAACTTTTAGTTCAGAAATATTTTAGTACTAGGCAGAATAGCTTTTAGGCATATTAGACTAAAATAAAAACGTGGGGCCCATTAACTATTGCCGTAATACTTTCTTCTATACTAAGTGTGGATTGCATCGACTTACTATAATCGTAACTGGAGATTTTGACAATCAATAACCAGCCGTGGCGGCTTCACCAGCGAACGCCGAGCTCATGATCTACCAAAGTATAAAGATATGCTTTGCCATAGGTAGGATTTCAGAGGGGCCCCACCTTTTTATTTTAGTCTAATATGCCTAAAAGCTATTCTGCCTAGTATTAAAATATTTCTGAACTAGAAGTTCAAAATACCTAATTGTTATTATTATTTTCTAGTTTTCAGTGCACATAAGATAAAACCGTTTAACTTAAACGTTTTTTTACCGATTTTTTATTTTCTAGTTTTTAGTATTTAACGGAAATGCCTACCGAATATTCCTCATTCTATTTAATTCATTTAGTGCATCATTATTACATGGTTTTTTACCTGATAATTTATTACAATCTGACGCTCAGGTGTTTCTGACGCTAACAACTCTCTCTGTCTGTCGGGTTCTGATGCTAGCCTAGACTCATGACACTCAGGTGTTTCTGACGCTAACAACTCTCTCTGTCTGTCGGGTTCTGATGCTAGCCTAGACTCATGACACTCAGGTGTTTCTGACGCTAACAACTCTCTTTGTCTCTCTCGTTGTGATGCCAGCCTAGACTCATGACGCTCAGGTGTTTCTGCCGCTAACAACTCTCTCTGTCTGTCACGTTGTGATGCTAGCCTGGACTCATGACGCTCAGGTGTTTCTGACTCTACCAGCTGCCTTTGTCTCTCACGTTGTGCTATTAACCTGGCATCATGTTGCTCAGGTGTTTCTGTTGCTAACCGTTCATTTCGTCTCTGTAGTCGACTATAGGTTTCATTTTCAGTTTCTTTTGCACGTTTCGTTCTATACTTTTCTTTCGCCTTTTCGAGCCTTCTTTTTCGTTGTGTAGCAGTTTCGTTTTTATTTTTGTTTGTTTTTTTATTTATTGTTTCCATGTTGTTCTCACGAGTAATGGACATTTTAACAGTCGACCCCCCAGAGGTCCAGTAGAGGGGCAAGGCTATAATATACAACAAGAGGCGCCCAATCTTGAAAGGAAAAGGCTTGCGACATTACATTTTTAGCCACCCTAATGCCATACAGTCCTCAGCACGTTTTAACCTATTACCTTAACTTGGGTGGTAAAGCTACCGTTAACTACGTAGGTACATCTAATCACCTATTTTTTTATCTGTCCTTCTAACGTCACACAATCTTGGACACAACTGTTCTGGACACGACGACTCATGCACGACTCATTCAACTATTCGAGAACATTTTAGTTTTTTAAAACAGATACGTCTACAACATCAACAAATAAAAAATCGGTAAAAAACTTTTAAGTTAAACGGTTTTATCTTATGTGCACTGAAAACTAGAAAATAATAATAACAATTAGGTATTTTGAACTTCTAGTTCAGAAATATTTTAGTACTAGGCAGAATAGCTTTTAGGCATATTAGACTAAAATAAAAACGTGGGGCCCATTAAC